CTCTTAATATAAAATTATGTGTCCGTCATGTTTATTACTCTCATCCTTGTGAAAATAGAAGTATGCCTAAGAAACCTCTGATTCTCTGAACTCACATGCTTTATTTAGACCAGCACCTATCAAGATGAGGTTTTATTTGTACCGAAGTAAATGTTGATTAAGTTAAGGCCTAAGGGTTTATTTAAGTATAAATTAAAGGTTTGAACTTATTTTAGGTATAATTTAAAGGTCAAGGAGTTACTAAAATACAAGTCAAAATGTTGAAGACACATCAAGGTGCGTAAATTATAAGAGTTCAAAATACTTTTAGCACTTTTGCTAAATAGTAACAATCCTCTACCTACCCATTCATTAAAGGCTCACCTTCAAACTAATTATCACCTTAAAAAAATAAGGATATATAGTGGAACGAAAACTTTCGGGTTAATAGACCCAAAGCCATAGTCCATCATTGATCTTGACGAGGTGTGAGGATAGATCTCTCGTGATTTGATACAATTTTATTCAACTAAATTATTATGTTCATACATGATACAACTATATATAACAAAAATTATAAAGTTTTACATATTTTCATATGATCTTTTTATAATTTATTGTCGATTAAAATGAATTTTTTCTCGTTTGAGATTTCCCAAGTAAGAAATAAAGGGAATTTAAAGTTGAGCTGAAAAAGAACTACAAAAGGTAGGCTTTTCAAAGTGGTAAAAAGGAGTCCCTATTAGATATAGCTTCAGTTCAGTCTTGATATTGTAGGTATCATGGAAAGAGAGTTTCCTCAGAAGGTCTAATTTTCAGTGAAAAAATAATGATAGTCAAGAACTAGGGTTTGAAACGGCAAAACTAAAGATGAAGGGCAGGTTTTACATTAAAGCAGAGGAAGCTAGCAGGAGCTGAAGTGAATAAAAAAATGAGATATGATGAATTAGTGAAAGTAAAAGCACTTGATATCTTCAAAGTTGCCTTGATTTGCTTTGTTATTTTGGTGTATAAAATTGCCTGTACCAACCTGGTAAGGCAATAAAAGCATCTGAATGCTTAGCCATCTCTGCCTTCCTTTGATGCATATCAGCAACAGCTTTCACTTCTCCTACTGTTTCACCAGTTAACTGCAAAGTGGCACACAAAAAAATAATGCTGAAATCTGTAGAGGGAAAGAGGAGTGTTCATTTCGAGTGTTTTGCAGTGCAGCAATGATGAGAGTTGCAGGAATAATGGACTTCATTCAAATATATCAACTCTGAGAAATGTCCCCAGCCACTAATATTTTACCTCTGCATCAATGCAAAAGAAAAAAAATAGAATAGGACAACAAAGAAAAGAACACACAAGAAGAAATCCATGTTGTGATCCCAAGTATACATAATGAAAATGGTAAAGTGGAAAGTTGCAATTGTCCCAGTAATAATGTGGATAACGCTCATACACCCCTGTAGATGTCGTGTTCGAATCAAAATCTCAAGCGAATCAGGAATCTCAAGGGACAACAACAATCCCTTAACAACTAAGATCGATAGGTTCAAACTTGTTTTTAATTAATTTAAATAAGAAAAAGTTAATGACTTTTTCTCCCCTGGTTATAGCAAGCAGACGTACCTCTCGAGGCATGAGCGTCTTGGGAATAACACTGCAGATAGACAAAAACATGACAAAAATTCAGTTATAATGGAAAACAAAAGCAGAAAATAGCTTTGTAATAAGGAACACCATGTTATCAATACCAACAAAAAGCCAGTTTCAATGAGCAACTTTGTTTCTATAAACTTGTTGGAATGTCTTGGAAAATGAGGCCTTTTATAGTTCTTTACCCAATGACATGGCGACCACCATCATGGACAGCTTGTGAAACCAAACCCATCAAACCTATGCTACCTCCTCCATAGACCAAATCAATGTTCCTTGAGACCTGCAAAACAAACGTTAACTGGTCAACTCATGGTTCAAAGTTGAAGCACGTATGTCTTTACATTCAACTCATTTGACAAAACCAATGCTTCTTCACTGTCCACTCAAAAGTTTACCAACACAATAAGATTCCATGGGAGAGACAAAAAACCATTGGAGACTTGGATTTTCCTACCATGGAAGGACTTTTTAGAAAGGAAGAGAGAGAGAGATGCTAGTTAGAGATACCAAAAAGCTGGCAGAAAGCTACAAACTTGAGGGACTTTTAAAATGCTAGATACCCTAAACCATTTCACAAACAGGTTCCAAACATTAAAGAAATGGATAACAAGATGCAATACAACCATATGGAATCAAAAGCTTATGGTTTTAAGCAACTTTTAAAAGATTTCTTGCAGAATCCTTTTCCTCCATGCAAGTAAAAAACAAGTTTCTAACAAGACCATCACGAAAACAAGTCTCATTCTTGTGTAAAAGACCACAAAAAGCAGATTAAAAAAAACAGAGCTTTATGTTAAATACCAATTCCCTCCCAAGCTCAATAGCAGCATCTTGATAGCTACTCTTTTTGCCTTGGCTACTCCCACAAAACACACATATCCTCCTAAATTTTGACTGCTGTGTTTCACTTTCCATCTCTATTTTTAACTAATCTCTTTTCTTATGTATACTTTGGCTCACAAATCCCAGATAAAGGAGCCATGGAAGAATCTCTCTTTCTGACCTGTTTCTTTGCTTCCTAATCTATACACGTATCAACTTGAAAACAATGCAAAAAGTAGCAAAGCTTAAAAACCTTTAAATCCTTTTGTTTGATTACTGCTACTACTACTACTACTACTATACTACTGAGTGCATTCTCTTCATGCGTATTATATAAAACCTAGCCACACGTGAGTGCCTCATAGCACGCTTCTTCACACAGCTATTCTTCGCACGCGTGGACCACTTGATTTTTTAGTGTTGTTTGTATTTTCCAAGTTCTATTTTCTTTTCCAGTTAAAAAAAAAACTTAAGGTAATGAATCACATACAGGATTGCTTTCCTCTTGTCTATGTGAAACATTAACAAATGCATGATCATAAATATGTACGTAAATATCAAAAGAAGATTCAGTACTTTCACTCACCACTTAAGTCGTAGCCTTTTTTATATTCTAAATGATCCCATACATACATACATACATACATACATACATACATACATACATACATACATACATACATACATACATATACATACATACATACATACATACATACATACATACATACATACATACATACATACATACATACATACATACATACATACATACATACATACATACATACATACATACATACATACATACATACATACATACATACATACATACATACATACATACATACATACATACATACATACATACATACATACATACATACATACATACATACATACATACATACATACATACATACATACATACATACATACATACATACATACATACATACATACATACATACATACATACATACATACATACATACATACATACATACATACATACATACATACATACATACATACATACATACATACATACATACATACATACATACATACATACATACATACATACATACATACATACATACATACATACATACATACATACATACATACATACATACATACATACATACATACATACATACATATTGTTTATAATATTGGATAAAAAACATGAGTGGGTTATGGAGTATGCATCCCTTGTACCCTCATCCACCCACCCTAGCTAGACAAACATGTTGATTAAAAAGGAAACAATGGATTTTAGCAAATCCCATTTTGCTAGTTTCATATGCTCCTCTCTGTTGGCATTAGGTCAGGGTAATATTTTATTCAGTACTTGAATTCCCAGGATTAGAGGAACTGAAACTATCTGTTTAAAGTAATTAAACTAATATGAGTCTTATTATTTAACACCATCAATCCCCAAAAAATGGCCTTTTGTAGCAGTTTTTTACTTTCTTTTTCATAATTTATTTGTGTGCCTAATTCCTGCCCACTCCCTATGTTTAGATAATATAAACGCATAATTACTATTGCTTGATACTGATGGCCCGATGGGAGAGTCTGCATATTTAATTAATTGATATGTGTAAGCTTCTGCATGCTTGCATGCGCAGTTAACTCATGTTTTTGTGTGTTTGTGAACCGGGGTATGGGTAATTGTACCGACTTAGTAAATACTTGGTCTTCGTTAATGGTAAATTTTGTGCTGGTTTTGATTTAACAAATGACATTACGCTCAAATAGTATTAGTTTATTATTGATAAAAACAAATAGGTAACAATGGGTGATTTATTTTTTATGATTTGAACGTAGAGTTGTAATAGGTAGTTATGTGACCCTCAACAAATATTAAAATTCTGTTTCATGAGAAAGATTGAGGTTGAACTCAGATATTAATCTCTTTTTCGGTCTTAATCGATATATATTTTATGGTGACCTTCAAATGTTAGAAGAAAGATTATGATGATTATTTGTAGACTGAAAAGGTAAATAGACTCGATTGATGTGATCAACTATGTGAGATCTATTAGAAATCATATAAAAGGATCGTGACTTTTGGAGGGATGCAAGACTCCGAAGGTTATGTGCCTTGTAGACACATAATTTTCGTCCTTTTATTAGTACCACAAATTCTATTATATTATATTTACATCCATGTGTTTATTTTGCATGTGACGGGCCTGAACCTATGGCCCAGAATCATTACAAGGCAAACACAAACAAATCTCAGTGGCCCAATGTATCAGTGGCCCGTTTTCTGGAAACCTAACCCCATTTTCCCCACAACGCCGTTTCGTCTGTGGAGTCTTCTCACCCGTGTCCAAATTTCACGCAATAATCCCACCTTTCTCGGCCTCCAACCGGCGTGCATGTATGGGATACCAACAACCAGTAGAGTTCGATTAGGACTCAAATTAGACTAAAAATAGCATTTTTGTTATGTATAAATAAGCTCGTAAATCAAACAAGTAAAAGGAAGGAGGTTCCCGAAACAAACCCCAGTTGAGAGCTTTGGAAGAGAGAGTTTAATGGCTGCAGCAATTACAAATTTCTTAACTAAGCCACCATGCACCGATCTTCATTTCATCCCAAAAGCCACTTGTATTAGCTCCCATAGTTCCTTTCTGCCACCTTTTGTTTCAAAGTCGAGACCATTTTCAACAAAATCACTCGAAAGAAGCAAACCCCCACGATTCATCACCAAGGCTACAACTACACCAGGGACAAGGAAAGCTCCGAGCGATGAGAGCGTAAATCAGGTCCATAGCATAGAAGAGTTCGATGAAGCTCTTAAAACGGCTAAAAACAAGCTCGTGGTGGTCGAGTTCGCGGCCAACCACAATTACAACAGCAGTGAGATATACTCATTCATGGTGGAACTCAGTCGGACTTGCAACAACGTTGAAATTCATCCTGGTGATAGGCGACGAATCGGACAAGACGAGAGAGCTTTGCATAAGAGAAGAAATAAAGAAAATAACACACTTTAGCTTTTACAAAAGCATGCAGAAAAGCTACGAAGAGGAGCTATGGGGGATGTGGAGGGTCCCACGTGTAAATCCTTTATTAATGTGCTGTCACCACTTGCACAAAGTGGTATTCTTTTTATTTCCAAGTTCTTTTTTTAATTTTTTATTCATTTCACATTTAATAATTTGTTTTTGGATTTATTTATTTATTATTTTTATCTAACATTTTTTTATTTTTTGCGAGAATTTCAACTAATCAAAGGTAAGTAATTTGAATCGAATGCTTTAAATTTTAATTTTACTTTTCAATTTTTCGCAATAAAGACAACCGATAAATTAATTGGTACCGAAAGGGCGGTTCAAGAGTGCTAATCCTTCCTTAACCATAACCGACTCCCGAACCCGACACATTTCTGGTAAAACGCAGATCAGGTAAGATGGTGTCCGACCCACCTAAGTTCGTTTTAAAGTGGTCGGTGGCGACTCTAACCACATTTTCCAAGTCGAAGCCCAATTCCGGGCCCAACGGAAAGACGGTTGCGACAGCTTGGCGACTCTGCTGGGGACAGGTAAGTGAGTCAGGCCAGAATTAACTTTCGGTTGTCTTTTTAGGTGAAAATGGTAAATTTTAATTTTAATTTATTTATTCGATTCCAATTATTTACCTTTGATTATTTTTTTCAAATAAAGTGTTGTACTGACATTTTTTTCAATGGTTTCAGATTTTTGAAAAGTTTCTATCGTTGGCTCTATACCCGAGCTCCAAACCCTTTTAAGTGGGGGCGAAAGCGACGCCTTCGTGTGAATTTATTCACCGTATGGGCCTAGCAAGTAACCTTCGGGATTCATATACCTTATGTCTTCGTGTGAATTTATTCTCCGTATGGGCATAAGGGAATGTTTCCTCTCGAGTTTAACTTAGTCTACATAAGCGTGTAATGGGCTTAGGACTAAGGGTCTGGCAAGCCCAAGGGGGCACCGGCAAGGAGAACTCGAGTACCGTTTTTTAGAACCTAAACCGGGAGAGTGCAGGGAATTAGAGCCCACCCCAAAACCTTATTCCAAACCTTAGGCTATTTTATTTCCTACTTTATTTTCTGCTCAAAAGCATGCGAACTAGACAAATATGCGGTTAGGATTTGTTTGAAATTAGCATGCGGGGTAGAGATCATGTCCGGGTAGGAATTAAAGCATGTGGGGTAGATATCATGTGGGGTAGGATTTTTTCATTTTTATTATTGTTTTGATTTACCTCACTAACTCTTTTATTTTTTGTTTTCTTTTATTCTGTTTTCATCATTCGCATCATTTAAAACGGGGTATTGATCCACCAAAAATGTGTTTGTTAAACATGAATAATCAGCATTAATGGACAAAAGGGTTGTAATACAAGAGATGAAAATGCAGAAGATAGTCTACAAGGCGACTATGTGTCACCTTCAATCCAGAGGATGTGGTGCCCGCAATTGAAGGGTATATCATCATACTGCATTATAAAGGACTCAATGAACCGGGTCTACATCAAGCACAATGAAAGTCCATCTTTGAAGAATTGACTGCCAAAGGTTGCAGAGCAAAACGAGGAAAAGGTTACAGACCCGGACGCTCCTTTCAAAAACTACGAGAACAAGACGGCGAAACCCTAGCTGAGCTGAATGTCATTGCTGACGAATTCAAGAAGAAAACTTTGATAGAGGGATCCAATGGTGTTGCTGCTAAGGAACAGACTCGGCAGAGAGTGAAAGTTGGAGATGCAGTCCTTCGAGACCTTTTTTGGGGCAAGCAGCTCGCTATTTGCACATTTTAGCCAAAGGAGCCGGAACGGTTTGACAGGGTATTCAACCGGTGACAGACGAAGGCAGAAGACTAGTCAACCTATCAGAAGCTGTTCGGGGTCTATTCCTTCAAGATATTTTTGTCTCTTAAGACGTAACACTTTTGTCCCAATAAGGATTATTATAATAACAGATACATTTTTTTGGATCAATGCCTCGAACATTTCATGCATCATGCATTCCGACATATTGTGCATTTTGTTATTTTTCTTTACATTCGCATTATTTTTTCCCTTTTTTATTACATTCACATGTCTCATAAAAAATGAGAACATTTCGATCCTATGACATATAAGGAGCTTTACCAACAGTTGTTTGACGACACGTGGTGTCACCATATCCAGAAAAATCCATGAAGCCCCGTACCCCAAGTAGTATGATGAGAACACTCATTGCGAAAATCATAGCGGAGTCCCAGGGCGCACTATCGAGAATTACTCCACAATCAAGAGAATCATACAGAAAATACGTAACAAGAATCGGATCGACTTCAACAACTTGGGGGCATCCAAGTGGAGAAGATCATTTCATCATTTGAGGCATTCTGTTTGAATCTGTTTTTTCATTATTTCTCAAGTTTTTGTAAGGACTTTTAAATAAATTTATGTTGCTTTAATGATGGCGAGCAATGAATCACATTTGCAAACTTGCAATTCTTTGAATATCATCTGAATTAAGAAACACTATAAATGGTTCAAAGTTACAGATCTTTGACAAGTAACATAATCTGAAATAAGGACTTTAACCTTACCCAGAATATACACTCAAACACCGTACCATGCTTTGCAATTAACCAATGTAACATTTTCCTGTCATAAGGTGCGAACAACATGGGGCATCATTTGCATATGACCATTACTATGCTTTTTATTTAGGACGTTCAATGACGATGATGATCTTTACAAATGAAAGAGTCGAGTAGGTGAATCCAATTTAGGTCAGTTGTTTGAAAATTGAACTCTAAAGATGAGATTCCTTGACTTTCAAAAACACCTAGACTATGACAGGTTCTTCTTGACAATCTTAAGAAATTAAATCCGTAAAAACTGAGCTATTCCGCTAAGGCAATTGGTTATAGAGGAAACTTGAAAGCCCTGGCCTTATGAGTAGATTACGTTCAAACCATGACATTGCTCGGACACTTGGCAATTCGGTGTTTGCTCCACTGCTCTTGTCAAGTCGAAGACTCTGTGATGAGATGAACCCTTCAGTTAACTTGATAAGAGTGATTATAATATTAAGTTGTCCCTCTAAAGCAATTGGTTTAATGCCCCGGCTTTATGGATTCAGCTAGCCAGATAATGACAAGTTAAATCAAATTTATCTAAGCAAGAAATTTTCGGTAAAATGGACTAAGGGAGTTAAGGAACACATGTTATAGTCAACTACACACGAGCACTCAAGAATTTCGTTTTTAGACCGATGTTTTTGCACTGCCTTTGTTAGAGGAGCCTACAAAGCTTGAACAAATAGAAGATTTCAGAGGACTGAAATAAAAGGTCTAGTAAGTGATCATACTAGTTGCGTCATTTTGTCCGCACCCAATTGAAGTGCCAAAGCATGTCAAGATATTTAAAAAAAATGACATTTTTTTTCCAAAACCTTAGAAATGAGGTCAAGCTAAAGCCGACCCATCCATTTGAACATTTGTCAAAGAGCTGTAACTCTGAAAACGTTAAAAGAGCTATTGATTCCTTTGATATTCTTTGAACTCACGTTTATAACTTGATTCAATTGCGAATAATATTTTACAGCATTTTTATCATTTTCTCTCCTGAAACAAGAAAAATGAGAAAAACATTTTCAAACAGAATAATCTCAGATATGAAATGTCTGTAAAGCCCAAGCTCGAGAAGCAAATGGGGCACGATCGATTCCATGGACCAGATTGGCAGACAAAGCACGAAGAGATAACACATAATTCATTCATGTTGCATGCATCTTAGACATACTTAGGTGCATCACATTCCTCATTTTAGCATACATGATTTTTGCAGCTTTTAGAGTCAAGGATACTTGATTCGTAAGCGTTTTTAAAGAACGATGGTGGTTGCTTAGCTCGGCAGCAAGAAGCTACACTTCGACCAACTCGACAGATTGAAAATTTTTTCTCGAACTCACAATTTGCTCGAGAGTAGATTTCAACTTCACAATGAAGGATATCTAGCTTGAAGCCAAATATCCACGATTTCAAATCCACGACGGAGGATATCGGGTCGCTCAAGACAACGCAGGTTCAACTTCACGACGAAGGGACCGCTGGTTGTCAATAAACATTTCTCAATTTCAGAGCCAATTTCAACTTCTCAACGAAGGATCTTGACTCTAGACAACGCAAGTTCAACTTCACGACGAAGGGACCGCTGGTTGTCAATAAACAATTTCCCAATTTCAGAGCCAATTTCAACTTCACCACGAAGGATATTGGACTCCAGACAACGCAAGTTCAACTTCACGACGAAGGGACCGCTGGTTGTCAACAAACATTTCTCAATTTCAGAGCCAATTTCAACTTCACAACGAAGGATATTGGACTCCAGACAACGCAAGTTCAACTTCACGACGAAGGGACCGCTGGTTGTCAATAAACATTTCTCAATTTCAGAGCCAATTTCAACTTCACAACGAAGGATATTGGACTCCAGACAACGCAAGTTCAACTTCACGACGAAGGGACCGCTGGTTGTCAATAAACATTTCCCAATTTCAGAGCCAATTTCGACTTCACAACGAAGGATATTGGACTCCAGACAACGCAAGTTCAACTTCACGACGAAGGGACCGCTGGTTGTCAATAAACAATTTCCCAATTTCAGAGCCAATTTCAACTTCACCACGAAGGATATTGGACTCCAGACAACGCAAGTTCAACTTCACGACGAAGGGACCGCTGGTTGTCAACAAACATTTCTCAATTTCAGAGCCAATTTCAACTTCACAACGAAGGATATTGGACTCCAGACAACGCAAGTTCAACTTCACGACGAAGGGACCGCTGGTTGTCAATAAACATTTCTCAATTTCAGAGCCAATTTCAACTTCACAACGAAGGATATTGGACTCCAGACAACGCAAGTTCAACTTCACGACGAAGGGACCGCTGGTTGTCAATAAACATTTCCCAATTTCAGAGCCAATTTCGACTTCACAACGAAGGATATTGGACTCCAGACAACGCAAGTTCAA